CAAAATTATATCAAAACTGAAATCTAGTAAGTTGTTGGCAGTTAGAGAGATTCGAGCTAGCTCGTGATGCAATTCTTTCTGGTCTTCAGGTTGATGCTTCAAGGTAATAATATAGTACCATACCTGCTTTACATTCTTTTGAACTTTTACTTCTTATATTCTTTTTTTCACTTTGTTAAAATTTGTTACACAGCAATGCTCTAAGAAATTTAGAAAGAATAGCAACCAATATACTTGGGAGGAGACTCCATGGGAGACCTGCACGTTCAGATGATTTTGATTGCACGCTTTGCTTGAAATTACTATATGAACCAATTACAACTCCATGTGGACACACTTTCTGTCGATCTTGCCTCTTCCAATCAATGGATCGAGGTTTGTATTCTTTCTGTTCTTTTCCATATTTATATCCCCATTTTGAGTCACTAATACTTTTTTGTTCCCTTAATTAGGTAACAAATGTCCTTTGTGCAGAACAGTTTTGTTTATTAGTCCTAGAACATGTGCAATAAGGTGAGTAGGTTCATTAATTGTTTTATAGTAGTCAGATTAACTGATTAATAAGGTGAATTGGTTGTTTTGGGTTTCAGTGTGACACTGAATAGCATAATAGAGAGGACCTTCCCACAGGAATTTGCAGAAAGGAAGTTGGAGCATGAGAGTTTGACAAACATGGGTCCTGATTTGATGCCTCTTTTTGTCATGGATGTTGTGTTGCCTTGTCAGAAGTTACACCTAAACATTTTTGAAGCTCGTTACAGACTTATGGTTAGTTTTAACAGATTCTATATTTTTGTCCTATTAACATCAATTCAAAATACAACTTACAACCTGTTTTGTTCTGTTGTGTCTTGTTTAATTTGACCTTTTGTGGTAAATAACAGGTGAGGAGGATTATGGAAGGAAACCGGCGAATGGGAATGGTAGATATAATTAATGTTCCTTTTCTACCCCTTTGAATTATTTAGATTCGTAAAGAAACTGACTCAATGTACTTGGGTGTTGTGTGTAGGTTATACTGGACCCCACAACAGGATCTGTAGCTGATTATGCTTGTGAAGTGGAAATCACAGAGTAAGTGTTAGATGCTATCCACAAGTTTATGTCTATGTTAAATTATTTAATATAAATTTAATCACCCTTTTCTTTTCATGCAGTTGTGAGCCTCTTCCTGATGGGCGTTTTTTCCTGGAGGTAAATAGTTAGATTATAAAAATGAGTTACTTCTTTTTTTTTTTTATTTGATCAAATTCATTTAATGTATAGTTAACAGTTTTTTGGTTAATTATACTCATTTTAACATTTTAAAATGCAAGCAGGTTGAGAGTCGAAGAAGATTTCATATTCTTCGAAACTGGGATCAAGATGGGTGAGTATCATGATTGCTGTTGTTGACCATTTGACTTTTTCAAGTAATTAATTTTTTAAGATTTGGGTTTTTGTTTTTTGTGTATGAAGGTACCGTGTTGCAGAAGTTGAGTGGGTGCAAGATTTATTTCCAGCTGAAGGAACAAGAGAGAAATATGATGTAAGTATTTATTTATTATGTTCATAATTAGTTATTGATGAAAACAATGCCATTCTTCAATTTTCAGTTGCTTCTTGTTTCTTTTCTGATTTAAAAAAAAAAAAAAAATAGTATTTCGTCATTGATAATTAATGAATTGGCAACGTGGACAGTTGCAGCAAACAACAAATAAAGTAGCAGCATATGCTCGATCATGGATAAGAGTGGCTCAAGAGGCAGCCCGAAGAGGTAATTATTCCATACATATTTTTTTATATATATATTTTTTGTAACGTCGTCTAAATAAATGATATTCAAAAAATATTTGAGGAAAGGATTACACTTTGGAAAATAGAAGGAAAAAAGTCAGGACTTAATGTTCTTTTTGTATTAAGTAAAAAAGAAACACCAATATATATAGCTTACAAGATTAAGTGATACAGACCAAGCAAGACTCACGGAACTGCATAGAGCAGAGGGTTTGATGCCTTCAACAAGTGATCCTGAATCCTTCAGTTTTTGGGTATGATTTTTATGCATAATGACATCTTTTTGCTTTTAGTTTATTAAAAAAATATATGTTTTTAATTTAACTAACAATTATTATTGCAGCTTGCTACCCTAACAAATCAGAGACCACTTGAAAGGTTGTCTCTGCTTCGCCTTAGAGATACAAAAGAGGTACTAATACTAAACTAACCACTTATCAATTTGTTTATTGCAAGTAATTAAGAATTATTGGTTTGCAGAGGTTAAGAAGAGGCTATTTTTACATGAAAGCAGCAGAAGAAGAAGAACAATGACGTGGATTTGGATTTGGATGAACATAGAGAGACATAATTACATTCATTTAATTCATAAAGTATAGTTTTTTTTTTTTCTTTTTGTTTTTTTTTTTATAAATATATAGCCAAATTCAACATTCTTTATTCCTCATGATATAGAGGTTCCAAGGTGAACAAACAATACACACACAAACGGTAAAGAAAAATGCACAAACATTTTTGTTTTTTTTTATTCATTTTTAAGTTTTATGTTGTAAAGAACAGGCTGAATCCTATATTATACGGTGGTAAACATACAATTTTTTTTTCACAAATGACGATTTCTTTCTTATTTGAGTTGCCGATGATAATAAATTTAATTATGTTTATCATCTACAATGAATGAAAATGGCGACCCTTCTATAGTATATACAACAATTTTATTCGGTTAATTCTATACGTACTTCCCAAATTGTTTATTGGAGGTATCATTTATGTTTGACATTTTTATTTGAGGTAATTTTACATGAGGAGTTGAATGTATGTACCATATGATATTTCCATCTCTAATATCTTATTTAAGAAAATTGCAAAACATGTGTTTGTATTTTTCTTTAACTAGAGTCCAAAATAGTTCCAATTTACAAAAATAGTCCTTATCTCAAAGTTACATCGTGGATTTGATCCCTATTTTATTTTTAACAGCACTCAAATGGCTTTTGTTTTCTCACAATTGTGCCCCTTACAAGAATGTAAAGAGGTATAGGGATGGCAATGGGGCAGGTTTGGGACGGGTTTTGGTAATCTCACCCCCGTCCCCGAATATGAAAATCGATCTCATCACCGATCTGATTCCCAACGGGTACCCGTTTACCAAACACTATCGGGTTTGCGGGTATCCCAACTGGGTAACAGGGATCCCGTTTAACAATTAAATTAAGAATAATTTTGATGTAGTGAGAATACAAAACCATTAGACTTAGTGATGCAAGCATAATTTCATATCCAAAATAATTTTGATAATTTACAAAACCATTAAGAGCAAACATATTTGTTCTCATACATAAGTGGTTACTAGTGGCAAAAAAAATAAATAAATAATAAAGACGCTAGCTTTCATAAACTATAATATCACTATTACTCTAAGTACTATGAATAAAAAATGTCAAAACACTAGCACTATAAATAAACAGGAAGCTATCTTAAGAAATTATCTTTAAATCATTCACAACAAAGAAGATAACTCAAGGAAATTAATATATATATATAATATATATATATATATATATATATATATATATATACGAACGGTTTCAGGTAACGGATTTCGGTTTCGGTTTTTGTTTCGGGTAATCGGGACGGGTATTTTGTTTACCATCCCCATAACCAAACCCGTGAAAATTTTCTAAAAGCATACCAAACCCGATCCCGACCCCGATTAACCGACCCCAAACCCGACCTTAATATGTCGGTTTTCGGTTTTCACCATCGGGTTCAGTGTCTTTTGCCATCCCTAAAGAGTCATTTCCATCTTTCCTTGGTGAGGGGCCAAAATTACACTCTAGAGTTTTCCTTTAACCATGTGTTTTTACCCATTGAATCTTTTACAAAGCTCCCAAAAATCATGTTGGTGCTCTGCTACTGTGGGAATCTAGTTGTAGTGCGTACACTGTGGAGTTCATTGAATCCTTAGAGAGGATTCTACTTTTTAATTCTAGCCCTAATTTTGGGTCTTGCATGTAGCTTCATTGGATGGGTCCAGCTACCAATATACTTGGTCTTGTTCAAAAACATCAACAATCTGAATGTCATAAGATATCTCTACTGACATATACCCATTTGCAACGACATTATAATCTTTACAATCTATTACATTAATTGGCACATCATCCATATTAACGCCATTTATGTGAACTCTTTCATAACAAATACAATTGATTCTATATTATTAATTTTGTATTGGGCGTATATTAATTGTTTATTTGTCAGTACAACCACTATTTTATTTGATCGGGGCTAAGAGCATCTCATCAATACATATAACCTCTGTACCACTCCATCCTCACCATTTCAGTTGCAAATTTCATTTTACACCTATTCAATACATACAATTCTCATATCACCCCACCTCACTCCACTCCACATCATCATTCTCTAATATTTACAAAATTCATAATATCTCCATACAACCCTATTGAAGATCCTATAAAAACAATTAGTTATATTAAATCAAGTTGTATTTGATGTTGGGGAAAAACGAAATAGGGTTATTGAAAATCTGAATCACAAACAGAAATCGTGTTAACACTTTTCTTGTTTGATATTTCGATCCTATATGTCTTGGATATCGCGAAATCCAAACTGGGATAATTCCCGATGGAACAATTCTGATTTTTGGCACAAAATCAGAATCAATTTTGAGAAGAAGATGAAGAAGACAGCGTTTCCAGTTTTCTGTGTTTCAAAAGAGTCGTTATTTTCCCGGATTTATCCACTCAACGGATAAACCAGAACAGTTTGCAACTTTCAGAAAAAACAGATTAGCCCTTGAAGTTGCAACACAGTAGATTACGGTTCGGTACTAATAATGTTTAGTAAATACAAGTGTGCACTCTCACACCTCCTAACTTGTATTATAACTAAAAACATTATTCTTGAAACACTTGTTAAATCCATTACACTAAAATATATTTGGTGATAAAATCATGAACATTTGAAACTAATCAATCGGAGTAAATTTTAGAATTTGACTTTTTGGTTAAAGATGATAATGTTTGGAAATAAATACTATTCATCAAGTATTGAAGTTTAAGCATTTAGAGACTGATTCAGATATTTAGCAATAGTATAGGGACCATTAATGAAACATCGTCTATTTGCGCAACACATTTCATCATCGTTGCCTGGTTGGAAACTTGTCAAAGATGTAGCAAACTGTCCTCAGCACACAAATGGCTGACGAAGAAGAAGATGTAGAAAGCACCGTATTTGGGCCTCCTGCTGCTTTAATTGAATGGGAACGACTCCAATTGCGTCCGATTTCCGATCAATTTCAATTTCATTCTCAGTCTCAATCTCCGTCTTTATCAGATCCACTTGGAGGTAGAGAAGTATGGTCAACGATACATGAAGACAACCAACCACCCGTCGTATTCCCTCCAGTGAACCACGAAGGCATTCACCTTCACCTTCACCATCACCAAGATGTACGAGAAATCGATATCGAACGACCCAGACCACCGTCCCCTATCTCGAGACCAGCGGCGATGGGGGAATCCGTCAGAGTAAGGTGGTGGGATGGTGGACTGCAAGTTTTACGTTTCAAGTTTGCCAGTGTCATCTCGTTCCTTCGAAGTTTTTCTACGAGCAGAGGAGGGTTACTTCGGTCACACTTCCCGCTGGCAGGTTCAATGGTGTTGCTGTTGCTACTTCATTTGAGGTCCCGGCGCCGGCGAAGGTTGAGGCAAGAGAGTATCATTCAATTGATCAGTGTTATTAAGGAGAAAGATGAGGTTCGTCTTTTTGTATCTTCTGCATCCCATCGACTTCTTAATTTTGTGTCCACCAGGTGTTTGTTAAAATGCCGAAGAGAAATATCAAGATCTCTCTGCATCATTGCATCTGAATTTAACCAAAATTCTTCCAAATCTTAACGATTTAACTCTTCGGTTTTCCAGAAAATAAATCAATTACTGCATCAGATCGCCCGAATGAATGAACTGTTGCTTGCTACCCATCATGGAGTCCCCTTGATATCCAAAGCTGTTTCTTCCTGATTCAATTGGGCAGCAGATCAATGGTTTATCTGGGCATCAAAGCTGGAGATCTTCAGAGACTCAGAGTTGATGCTGATTTCTTCTGTACAAGATTCAACGTTTGCTAGCTTATCAGTTATCACACAAATGGTATTGTAGTGTAGTATCAGTTTGAAACTCGTTCTTGAATTTCCTTGCTCTCCTAGTCTACTGTGTGTGGATCGGTCTCTATAAAGGGATCTCCAAACAGGGTATGATAAGGTTCTTCAATGATGGCTCAGTTACCAAAGTCGCCCAATATGCACCACTTTTAATTATATATTTTTTTACCATATCATATATCATATCTCCAATTAGTCATTAAAGTTTTAAATTTATTTTCTTTTATTTATTTTACGATATATATTATCTATTGTAAATACATTTGTTTTGCTTTATTAAAATTAAAATAAAAACGCTTGTAGTTGAATCTGAAGCATGACTGCACCTAAAAGAATTTACAAAGTAAAATTTTAATTGCAAAAATACATATACTTGACACAATATTGAATCAATATTGTATACTTAATAGTTTTTCACTAAAATATCCATCAACTTTCTTTTCAGAAAATATCAACATTAACATTGAATTAAAAATATGAATAATAAAAAATTTAATTTAGTTATTTTTGAAAAAAAAAATAATAATAAAAAATCACACAGATAAGTAGCGGTATTTGGGTAGTATACTAGTATCCATGCAATTATTATTATATTAACGACCCTCCTATGTGTTTGCCCGTTTGAAAAACACAAACGAATTTTCAATAATGAAATATGGTTTTATAACTTTAAGTGTATGTTTAACAGACTCTGTTATCATTTTCCTATATCTTTCTATTTAAGAAGTTTTTATTACAAATGTTCTAACTTATTATCATTTTCCTATATCTTTCTATTTAAGAAGTTTTTATTACAAATGTTCTAACTTATTGTTGGTGATTTTAGTGTCACTGTATCATTATATATAATTGAAACTAACATGTGAGCTAAGGTGTTTTACAATTTGTATTTTGATATATGTACGGGTATGTGCGGAGTGCACGTATGTATAAGATCGAATTAGAAAACGATTTGAAGACAAATCGGGGGTCCGAGGGCAGCTCCCTTGGGTTCGAGGTTTCCAAAGGGGCAACACCCATTTGGCGGAGTCTAGGGGCAGCACCCCTAGAGGGTCTAAGGGGCAGAGCCCTTGACTCATTAAATTCCGGATTTCCTGACTTGCTTCCATAACAACCTATGACGGTCAATCCTAAGAGGCAAACTCTAAATCTTGTTTATTATATAAACGACTCTTCTCTTTGAGAAGAGACACGCAACCATTGGCTCTCTTTTCTTCAAACGAACATATAATATTTCTATCAATTTGGCTTACAATTTCTATACTTGGATTCGTAAGTATCCTCTTGGATTATCTTAGGCTGAATTTTGGCAACTCAGACATATGGTAGAAATATCAGTACGAAAAGTATTCACACGATCAAAGGGTATCTAGATCTCCAACATAAACCCTAATTCATTTAACACTTAAGTGTCTGTTAGACCATCTAAGAACTTTGAAAAGGGGAAATTAGTTGTAATCTCCTTTAATACTCGTAGGTGGTTATGATTGTGAGAAAAAAAATATTGTTGTTCAAATGCTTGATACATTCACATATCACCCCAAATCATCCGGGCTTTTATCTAGGTGGACCACTTCACCAATGATGATCGATTATATAGTTGAAGTTATTCATTTGTTATGCGTAGGTGTTCTTTAATCCCTTTTACAATAATCAGATTTAATATATTTAATGAGTCCAATGCACTCGATATGCCTAATATACGTATGTAGATCTAATACCCAAATTGGCCCAAACATGAGATAACTATTATCTGATATTGCACATGGCCCTGTACTTCTTACTAATACATTTTAACGAGCATTAATCATCATAAATAACCCAAGTTCTCACATCTAAACATTCATTGCTTAAATGCTACACTTCAAATCTCATTTAATATTAACTTTCATGGTAGTTTGCCGTTTTCAGAAAAGAAAAAAAAAATCCAGCCTTGGATTGTGGATGTTAAGACTCAAAGGAAAAGGAATTGTGATTTTGTTTCACACAATATGACTATTTTTTGAACTTTTATGTGTATGTGCATCCTGAATTTTCAAATCTTTTGTATAACCAAAATATAATTTAACTATTTTTCTTCATATTTGTAACTATGTGAACATGGTATGGTACTCAACCAAAATAAACAATTAGACATTCAACCATTTCACATTTAATAAGGCATCATGCTTCATTACAAAAAACATTAAACTATTGCAAAATTGTCAATAAAGTAGATTAATTAGCAACAAAATTAAAAAAATTGTCAATAAAATAGATTAACTAGCAACAAAGTAAATAACAAAACTAGTATACATTTCTGAGTAACATCTTCATGTTCATTTGGACCAACATTTTCCTAACAATCAGTGATTCATGATTTGTCTTCATCTTGTACATGTTTATCTCATTTCCAATATTGGAAGCTTGAGTTCCAAAGGACCTGGTTCCATTTCATATTTCTTCTTCTTCGTTGGTTTATTTTCAACCAATTCTCAATAATGACATTTTTTCTTTGCATTTTTCATTGATAAAAAATTTTATATGATGAAAGAATTAGTTTATGATGAAAACCCCACTTACCAAGAGTTAAGGCAAACCCTAAACCTTTTGCCATGGTTCTCCTTCATCCATGATGTCCAAATTCAAGAAGGGAACCTACAATAACAAGGGTGTTCATCAATGAGTGGTGTATTTGGCTTGGAGATGTATGAGTAGGAGTTGGAGAGGGTTGAGCAAGTTAACGATCGATTTTGATATCTTGCTTATGTTATTTTTGAACAATGTTTTGCCTAAATGACATATTTGAGTTCACAAGGTTAAAGGGTGTTGATGGATCCACCTCATCAAATATATGCAACATCAACATTCTATTGGGGTTAATCCTAAAATAACAAAATTTATAGGAACATTTTGCAAGAATGAAAATAATAAGTCCAACCGACACAACCCTTATAACCATTGTAATTCTTCATAAATAACTGACATATTGTTCAATAATGGTACTTAGAATAAACTAACTAAACTGCCTAGAACTAATTGTCATAAGTTCCTTTTATAATTTCCAAATTAACATAAGTCTAGCTTACATATCAACATTTCCCTTAAGCTAGACTTCAAACACTTCATGTTTTGTATTCAACATCTTGAAATCATCAAAACCGTTCAAAGTCAACCAATTCATCATGATTCAAACTTCTAGTTCTTGTATAAATATCTCTTATACACCTCTATAATAGATGCACCATCCTTTTTTGAAAGACCATTCTCATGCTTTGACTTTTCATCTAACTTCCCTCGCCTAACATCAAGTTCCCTTTCTTGTGTGTTTCTTCATCGGTTACCCTTTTGGTTAATGGTCGATTTTGTCCCCTTTTTATTTATATATATGAATTCTTTAAATAATTCTTAAAGTCATCACGATCTTTATAGGTTTTATTATAGAATCCTCAAAGTCATCATTTTCTTCGATAGTTTTCACTATAGTACCCTCACACTCATCATTTTATTTATACGGTTTTATTACAAAACCCTCAAAATAATCATTATCATTATTTAGAATCTTTTCATCTAGATCTATAAATACACAAACTCCAACATCATAAACAATTTCAAATTTACCAATACCTTTTAAACTTGGTCACCAGTCCATACTTTACTATGGAGAATATCATACATAGTTACATCCATCAACAAATCTAGAACCATGCCATCAACCCTCTTGAACCATAAACCTTAGCTTTGATACTCTTTGTTAGAGTTAATACTAAAATAACAAAACTTGTAGGAACATTCTGAAAGAATGAAAGGAAGAAGAACGATATTGTTTTTAATAAGAAGCAACAATCTTTGATTATTAACTCCATGAATTTTACAAATTACATACATACATATATAAACATAATTCTAACACCAGCAGATCCACATAGGTGTATTGGGTAGCACGGGGTACCCCTCAAATTTCGTTTAGAAGGCTAAATTTTTTCGTATTTTTTTTTGTATATACTGGAGTGCTACCATAGTAAAAAAAATATGGGCTTCCTTATATTATAAATCCAACTTTTTTAAAAAAAAGTCCAAAAAGTTTAAGTCAAATATTTTAATTAAATAAAAGAATTAGAGAGCGAAAATGTGAACTTTAAAATGTAACATTGTTATGTTTAATAAAATTACGGGGGTTTTTTTTTTGCGAATTGTATATTTTGCGATTTTTTTGTGCTAACAATTTACTTTGATACCAGCTTGGTATGAACCGTATTCGAGGTGGTCAACCTCCAAGGAATTAGAAACTGAAACAATAACTGGAGCAATTTTCTGAATATCATTAAAACCAAGGTTACATTACTTAAATACTACTTGAAAGAAAAGAAATAGCAACTACTATAGACTTGGGTTACTCCTAGAAGTGGAACCCAATTATTAGGAACACATGTTGAAGAGAATAAAGAAAGAGCATCCTAGCTAACTGCCTTGACTTGGTAAACACAGCTGATTCACTCCCGAAATCGGGTAGGCTTCTTGATGGGTCTTTTCGGTCGATTGAGTATTCCTGCTTGGGGAAGTTGGGCTGTCTCTTGGACTGGTAATTGTTGGGTTGTATCACATCTCCACCATTTAGTTCCACCTGACATAATCTTTGTGACCATTGCAACATTTATAAATAACCAATATGAAGAATTGCGATCGGATATAACTAACCAAACTACAAAGAAGTAACCCTTATCACTACCAACCTATAAGTTCCACGTGACACAATCTTTGTGACCATTGCAACATTTATAAATAACCAATATGAAGAATTGCGATCGGATATAACTAACCAAACTACAAAGAAGTAACCCTTATCACTACCAACCTATAATTATCTTGTATAATTATCAAATTACCTAAGTCTAGCTTACATTTAAACACATTTAACATGTAAATGACGATAACAATAGCATATTTTATGCTATTTTGAACAAATATAAGGTAAATAGTAAAATTTAAACGAAAAATATTAAATATGCTAATGTCCCAAATCATTATCTCTTCCTCTTAGACATATGAAAAACGGATGGAATGGAACCATCCAACAAAGGCAACAAACTACTACTCCATAGTCCATTTTAATGCATATTTTTTCTTACAATAGGCATAGGCATTAGACCTGACAAAACATGACACAACACGAAAACCCGACACGAAATTAACGGGTTAGGGTCAGAGATTTCGACACGTTTATGTAAACGGGTTGACACAACACAACACAATAATTAAACAGGTAGGGTTAGGGTCAAAACTTTCAACTCGAAGATGACCTGTTTAATTATATATTATTTATAATAAATTTCATATTTTTATAAATATATTATATGATATAGACTTGTAGTGGGTCAAACTCAAGAATTAGAAGTAATATTCAAAATTTCAAAGTTATTTAATTTTAGTCACCATCACCACCTATCCATTTTGCTCCCCAACTGTAACTCTTTTCATTTTTCCTTCTAAACTTACTATAAATTTTGTCATTTCATCTCATAACTCTAGTGTTTCACTTTTTTCTTTTTCCATCCACAACTTCTACTTTTAAACCTTTAAAATATTTCAACCTGATATGACACAACATATTTACAAGGTTTAAACTTTAACCCAAAACCCGACACGAAAATAAACGGGTTGACACGGCACAACACGATAATTAAACGGATCGGGTTAGGATCAAGTCCTTTAAACTCGTTTAATGTTTTGACACGACACAAACCCAACACGACACGACACGTTTGATAGGTCTAATAGGCATTCAGCCCAATCCTTACATGTAAAACTTTGATGTGATTCATAAAAAATTAATAACATTAGACAATATATAACACAATGGTAAAACGGAAAACCATAAATAACATACAACACATACTTGTTCTTAATCTGATACAGATTTATAGACATCACGATAAAAACGGAAATAATATACATAAAGAAAAAATAGTTGCATATTAATTTTGTTGTAATGTGTATTTTGTAAATTTCATTTTGAGTTGTGAGATTCTCATTTAAGATTTTAAATCTAAAATATAACATAGCATTTTGAAAAATAAAATGGGAAAGGGACCCAAATAAAATAAAATAGTCATTTTTAATATTTATCATAAAACAATCACTAACTCCATTTTAGATTGCAAATGTTTGGATGGTTGACATGTTGTTTCCACTATAAGGCTAGGCTGATAGATATAAACAACATGTTATTATATCTAAGTGTTTCCACGATAAGATTGATAGATATGGATAATATGTTACCACACTTAAATGTTAACACCTTGTTATCCTAGTCATATATAAGGTTATAACATCAAGTGTGAAAATATACAACATCTTAGAATTTCCATATCATAATTCCTTTTTTATTTCTTTTTTATTATTTTTTCAGTTTTTTTTAAATAAATAAAAAAACAAATATAATTTAATAAAATGTGTTGTTTAAATATAAACTAAAAATAATCATTTATGATTTTTATTAACATATAATTATAGAAAAATAATTCTCATCGTCCCAAAATTATTTTAGCTTAAAACATATAAAAAACTCAAACAATTGTAAGAGGCCCAAGATATTTTAACCTAAATGTATTTATACTCTTCTAGTGGTCTCCTCCAACCTATATGTGTTCTTGAGCGCTCAAAAATCATCTTCATCAAACCTCATTCTTTCTAATATGGTCACCAACGATCTACATTTTGACCGGTTGAGAAGAATGCAAGCCAATAACGAGCCATTGCCTCCCGTTGCAATGCTAACGACTGATGCCATAAGACTCAAAAACATAAAGGTGGGGTGGTGTTCCGGCATTATGTCGGCGTTTTTTCGCTGCCGCGTCAATATAACCGGTGATCCTGTTGCCCGTACCCATTAATCTAAAAAAACCCAAATCCGAAATAAAAATATCAATAATGACTAAAATGTTATACAATATCTTGATATAATACAAAAATATGAAAATATACATTCCTATATTAAGTAATATAAATTACAAAAAACAGCCATAAATAATATATGATTTTTTCTAGTGCCTTTTTTCTTCGATCTAAAGATCTTTCATGATTAAAAAGCAATTTTGCAATTGATGTGTGTCTGAGTGTGAATCCCGGAGGACCGTTTTGATCATATTTTCGGTGACGACGTAAATAATAACTTTCGTTGCTCATTACGTGTCATTCGTTCTCCCTCCGTAGTCGTTATGACACCGTTTTTGTCAGAAGTTTGTTACTTTAACAAGCATACGATCACCGTCACCGCCACCGGCCATACTTTCCTGACATTCTCTGGTTGCTGATCCGGTAAACTCCGATCCGTTTAACTTTACTTTACTTAATAGATTTTATAGTAATCTGATTTTTGAAATCGATCGTTTCCTGGTATAATGCAATTGGCTAATTACATATTTGTTTAATTTCAATTCATGCTTGATTTGTCGGATCTTCCTGTGATGCTTTGATCGAATTGAACGTAATTTTAATGGCAGGATCGACGACAGGCACGATGAGTCAGGTATTCGAAGGATATGAGCGTCAATACTGCGAGATTTCAGCCAATTTATCACATATATGTGCGTCGGCCAGTGTCCTTGATGGAGGTGAGTGAGTTAATTAATGTCCTTTTTCCGTAATTACATATCTGCCGATATTTTATTGTTCATGATTACATAATTGAACTCTTCAAACTATTTGCAACGAGCCATGTATGATTAATGATACTCTTTCTGTAACCAAAATGTTAATGTAAAATTGAATTTACAAAATCGATTAGAAAGATTTAATTATGATTATGAGTACCAAAAGTTGGGTATTGTAGGTATGGCAATATATAGGTGCAAGGAAATGGATTCTCTTATCTACTGGATATCCATCTTTTTGGGTATAAGGAAACTCTGGAATAGTTGCAGGTTTGTGCAGCATGGTAGGGATGGTTTTATTTGGGTGATATGATATGGTTAGGGTTTGATATGTTCTCTTGTAGAAGGTTGAATAGGCAAAAGCATGTAGGAAGTTGATTTTCATACTTTTAAGTTTTAATAATATATTATGGTTTTAGTGTCACATGCATGCAATTAGTATAATTGGAATCAACACGAGTGCTAAATAGGATTTAAACTATGATATAGTATAAGTTAGGAGGTATGTGTCAATCTTTTGTGAAACTGTCTTTCAAATGCTTAATATATTATTTACTGCATCCAGAGCAGAAGAAACAGAGAGTTTCAGAAATAGCAGGAGGAATAGAAGAGGCGGACACTCTGGTATCCTTCCTGCATATTCAACCTTCTTCTTCTATACCCTTTTTTTACATCAACTTCTGCTCTAATGTAAAATATCCATTCAAAGTTACGCAAAATGGACCTTGAAGCAAGGAGCACGCCAGCTGGCACCAAGGCATCGCTTCTTGCCAAGATTCGTGAATACAAAAACGACCTCAACAGCCTCAAAACTGAATTGAAAAGACTCCAGCCCAGCAACCCTAATGCTAATGCTGCCCGAGATGAGCTACTTGAATCAGGAAGACCAGATGCAATGCAGGTAGCTATTCTTCCAACAACCTCTGAGCTTACACATTACTGTATTTATACGATTTATATGTTGATTTCTTCCTGTTGATACTAATGGAGCTTATTATGGACAGGTGTCAGCTGATCAGAGAGGAAGACTGATGATGTCAACTGAGAGGTTAAACAAGTCAACCGATAGAGTCAAGGAAAGTAGAAGAACAATGATGGACACCGAAGAGCTCGGTGTTTCAATCCTCCATGATTTACACCAGCAACGCCAGTCTCTCCTCCATGCAAACACCACTGTATGTTTCTTTCAGTTTCACTTTCTGTTTCATTTTCTAAAAAAAAAAAATTAAAATTAAAAACTTCAAATTCTTGTTTTCCAAATTGCAGCTCCATGGGGTGGATGATACTATTGGAAGGAGCAAGAAACTTCTGACAAATATGTCAAGGAGAATGAACAGGAACAAATGGATCCTAGCTTCCATTATTACAATCATACTTCTTGTAGTCATTTGCATCCTTTACTTCAAGCTCACCCGTTAGCTCTCTCTCTCTCTCTCTCACACACACACAAAATCTCAGGCAACATTTAAATATATATATTTTTTTCAATAACAAAAACTATCATGTCACATTCCTTTGATAAATTCTTTACAAACAGGTACAAGAAAGTTGTCATTTATACTTGACAAAAATTACACGACTTGTCATTTTTCAGTTTAGATACTTGAAAAAAAGGCAAAACAGTCGTCCAAGAATATATATATATATGATTAGAAATACTGGCAAAATAGGTAAACAAATTTTCAGTTATGGAAAACTGAAAAATTGTTTTCAGGAGATGAATCTCTACCCTCTTCATCTTCTTCATCATCAATATCATTATCATCATCTTCATCATCAAAATCAGTAGAAGTAGGTTGGCCATTAAGATCAACATTAATCCCATTAATCTTCCTCACAAACTGTCCTCTGACACGTGGTCGCCTCTCTGCTAACTTTTTCCTATTCACATATCTGATTTTCTTATCAAAGCATCGCTCTTTTCTCTTCTGTCTAAACTTCATCAAGGCCGCTTCTCTACGGTCAAGTCTACTATTATTATTATTATGTACCTTTACATTATTCAATGGACTCCCGTATCCCATCCATGGCTGCTGCATTGCATTTGTCCCGGGCAGGCAAAGGTTAACCGGATAGTAAGGGAATGATCCCATTCCGGGCAGATGGGGCAGCGGTGGCGGGCAATGCATAACATGGTTATAATGGTTCTGTAAATTCATTGGGCCCGGAAGGTAATACGGATAAGGGGAATACGCGTTATAACCCGAAACATCCGGATGTTGATAGTTGCTGCCCGGTTGGTGGATTTGTGCCTCGGGCAGATCAAATGTCTTTGAGTTCATTGGGTCGGAGGGACCCGAGATTAAATCATGATGCCCTTGAGTATCGCTAACGTTGACCGGGCTTAGTTTGTTGTCTAATTGTGGAGGATTGGGTTCGTTGATTGTTATGGAACTACTTCTACACGTGTTTGATTTCACATATGTAAAGAAGGCGGAGGATTGACCGATTCTGAGTTCACTCTTTTTTGGACCGAATGTAACTTTCCCTGAGGATAAAGCTTATAAGATATGTTCAATCATGGAAATATTTTAAAAACTAAAATCAAATAGAATTTGGATTTAGAGATGTTGATGTTAACAACCTCGGTGTTGTTCGTTAATTTCCGGGACATTAGGGGGGTTGCCTGATAAGTTGAATGGTTGTGTGTTGAAAAAACTAGGAGCAGGTGTTATCATGTTATTCTGAAAAAGAATTAAGAGTATAGTTAATTATTTAGTAGCTGAGTAATTCCAATTCCAATTCCAATGAACAAGATTCTGACCTCGGCTTCCGGAGGAATGGAAAGAGAGATCTCTGGATTGGAGTTCTTGTGTGACTTGTCATCTGTGTCATCTGAAAACAGAGTGGTGCTGTTTGTATTTGCATCACTAGGATCTGAAGCCACTATGTCGAATTCACAGTTCATGATGTTCTTCTCAGCCAGGCCAAGCTGTAGATAAGTAGAGATTTAAAGACACAACTAAGCAAAACAGATTATGATTTTTCATATTCATATTCCTTTTATAGATTCTGTTCTTTTCAAAGAGAATCTTTCAACACCTATAATCTGTCACATGTTTGGTTGAAAACTAAAACATATTATAACTTTATTGATGTTTAAATATATTTTTTGTTTATTGTAGAAAACATTTAACTGAATTTCTGTTTTTATTTATTGCTCAAGAACATAAATGAAATCCTTGCAACCTCCATCAAATATGGAATTTGAAGGATTTCAACAAAACTTGGTAACCACACAAACCATGATATGGAATGGAATCTCGAATTCCAATCCAGAAACAAAACATGTCCTTTAGATTGAAGGAAATACCATTCGTCGTCTCCTCCACATGTGGGTCCACAAATTCAAGAGCTCATTTGTGCGCAAGGGCTTCACAAGATAATCAGCTGCACCAAGCCTCAAGCATTTCACAACAAGAGCAACCTCATCCTGAGCAGACATCACTGCAAAAAATGACAAATTGAGAACAAGAAAAAGATGAAAATTTATAATTAAAAAAAAAAAATGTCAACAGACTTACTGATGACAGGAATTCGTCGCAGAGCATTGTCTCTCATGATGTGTTTTAACATCTTGAAGCCTTTTGGCATGGGAAGATCAACTTCAGAAAGAATAATATCAATGTCGGGTCCCTCGGCATTCAGGGCATCAATCACTTGCCTGGGTGATCTTACTGAAGTCACTGTAAAACACCAATCATACTTGCCATCATTATGTATCCTATGTCACTCATATTCATCCTATATCTATTCAAAATCAAAGGCTTTTATCTCTACAGTTGCTGAAATGTACAACAATGGAAGACATAAAAGCCTTTTTCAAGTCCCCACCACCACATGAAACGTATGACAATACTATGGGGGCATTTGCATTTGGTTCCCAGAATATTTTGCAAAGAATTAAAACCTGTCAATGGACTTGGAATTTGAAAGAATTGGAATCCGGAGGAATTGAAGTCTGTCAAACGTTTGGTTGGTAGGGAGTGAAATGGAAATTACTTGTGAGAATGTAGGGTTGAGAGGGTATTTGAGTACTTTCAACAGGGAGGAAATGCTAGGAAATGAATTCCATGGGTTTTAGGATGGAATGTTAGAATCCATCTCTCAAAAGTTTTTTTTTTTTTTTTTGGCAACCAAAGAGGGGTTTGGAATGGAATCAAATTCCATTTTTGACCATATAAAAGTTGGAGTTAAGTGACTAAATCAATAAAATGGAGAAAGTATAATGTGCTTTTCTGTATTTTTGACCACAAGAAGACAACTTTTCTTGTAATATTTTTGAGGCTAACTTTTCATCTCACACTAAAGATCAATGACATGTCCTGCAAGACGGCTGAAACAGAGATACGATACCTTTACAATACTCTTCTTTCAAGATCATACAGAATTGAGCAAGAAGTTTTAATCACAACCAAAAACATATAGAATCATCACTACCCACAATTTTTCATAAAATTTATTCGTTGGTGATCATTGAATATTATCTCAATGTACAATCAGATCAAACTGACAAAAGTGAGCTCGTAAAAATCTACCAAGAATAATCAAAACATTGCATTATCGAACAAAGCACTCATTAATCAAGAATCTCAATGGATAATTAGATCAAACTCAATCATATTAAAATCATAAAGATTAACATAGAATAATCACACATCATTCAGTTATCAATCAAGACACTTATTAATCAAGAACCTCGATGGATAATTAGATCAAAGTGATCATAGAGTAACCACATCAATCATTATCAATCAAATCACTTATGAATCAAGAGTAATGAGAAGGTAAAGAGATTATGCTTATTATACCTTGATAGGAGCATTTACAAAGAAGTTTAAAAACCTCTTCAGAGCTCTTCGTATCATTGTCACAGAGTAGAATTCTCACTTTACTTCGATCAATAAAGCCCTCCCCTGTCGTCCCATTAGTATTGCCTCCACCGCCACCTCTGCTTAACATAATTTCATTTGAATCCATCTTCCACATCAATCAAATCAACTCGTCTACACTCTATACTTTACAATTACGTTTCACAAAAAAAAAAATCACCTAAACACCCTCAATCCTACTACTAACACAAGCCAACATTAGAGAACTTCCATCAAACCACGATTTTAGATAGCAATTATATACAAAGGATGAAAGGATCTAGGATTAGGGTTTCCGATTCTACGAACTCCATACAGAACAAATCAGTAGAGTTTTCAGAACATAAAAACGAAAAACAAACACAAAGGGTTACAGTTTCAATATCATAACAACACAACACACATCAAACGGAAACGGAGAAATCAATCACACTTGATGATCGGAAAACTCAACTGAACCAAAAACGGAAAGTTCGATACGATCCATAACAAATCAAATTCATCTACTCAAATTGAACCTTCAGCTCCCGTCGATCGAACATATACCGTCACTGCCAGTAATTCGAGGGGCGAGTGTGTGCGGAAATGAAGTCGTCTGCTTCATTTGTTGCGTTGGTAAAAATCTGTTGCTTTTTTTGTGGCCGCGGATACTAAAATGCGCTGGGGAATGGCAGTTTAATCTGGGCCGTTGGCTGTGGAGCGTACGTTAGAAAAAGGGCAGACGTGGAGGAAAAAGTGCAAAAAAAGCGCGTGAGACTTTGAGAGGATAAAGAATTAGGGATAGAGAGTAGGCCACGTCACCAAAAGGTCTCTCCGAAAGAGGAAAGGTCGTAGATATTTTGAGAATAAGATATGTATCTGAGAGGATACGTGGGCAGGCCCACACTTTGGCCCATATGGAAAAAAACAACAAAATATCTTCTTCAATCATTCTTCGACCCCATCAATTGAAGAAATGGTGAATCAAATTCTGAAGTGCTTTCTCAACCTAAAGTTCAAATCGTCCAATCTTCCAAGAATATATAATAAGAACCACAGTTTTATAGAATAAATTAATCAAAGATAATTAGACCATCGTTGTTAAAGTTCTTTTAATGATAAAGATATTAGATCGGAAGGAGTGGGAGAGAAGTTTTTCTTATTTTTTGTGGGTCATACCCAATTTCTTTCACTTTCCTTTCCATTACCTAAAACCAATGAATTTATGAGAAGGTCTTCCCTCACTATTTTTTTAAATAAAATTAATTTTTTTATGATTTATAATTTTTAAATTAATACTAAACATAAAATTTAATTAAAAATAAAAAACATTTCATTAATTAAAATAAAAATTACATTAAACATAATATTCAAATAAGTAGAAAATTTTAAAAAAAAACGCAAACAAAAAATCAAAAAACCCACAACATAGAAAACATAATCAATATCCTAATTTTAAAAAAAAAATGTGTCACTCGAAATCGTCGACCTCGTCATCGATCTCATGGTCTTCATCATTCTTCCAAGCGTCACTCTCGTCATCGGAATCTTCACTCTCATCGAACATATCAGAATCATCATCTGATTCGTCAAACAAATTATCGTGAGAAAACTCTTTCGGCGGCTGAATATGAGTCATATAAACGTGTTCCACCAAATCAGCACGAAGTGCGTGATGAATGTCACGATTGTGTACTTCTCTTGTATTCACCCTATACTTTTATGTACCAACGGCTACTCCTTCGACATTTGGCAAAACTTCATTTTCGTTGTACCGACGTATCGCTCTTCCTTCGTTTTTAAGAATCATATTATGTAATATGATACATGCATACATTACGTGTTGTAACCTTTTCACTTTATATGACCTTGCCCCGGATGCTAGTACTTGACAACGTCTCTTAAGTACACCAAATGTTCGCTCCACGTCCTTCCTAACTGACTCTTGCACCTCTTTAAACTTTTTCCTTTTCGGGTCGTTAGGACATGTAAACAATTTCACAAAAACAGACAATGGAGGATATATACCGTCAGTAAGATAATATCCACGCTTATATGCTACACTATTTGCTTGAAAAAATACATTGTGCGACTTTTCAAGGTAGATATTGTTGAATATTGGCGACTGGTCTAGCACATTGATGTCATTGTTTGCACCAACTGGACCAAATAATGTATGCCATATCCAAAGATCATGTGATGTGATAGCCTCTATAACGATCGTTAGGTCTTTGTGGTTGCCTCTCATGTACTGACCACGCCATGCGTTAGGGCATAATGACCAACCCCAATGCATGCAATCGAGACTACTAAGCATTCTAGGGAATCCATGCTTGCCTTCATGCACTGTGTACAATTGGTGGATATCGTTGATAGTTGGTTTGCACAAATATCATTGTCTATAAACCAAACAGATCGCTTTGTAGAACTTGTACACACACTCCTGCACAGTATGCTCTGACATCCTAAAATACTCGTCCCATTTGTATGCGCCCATGTCGTATGCTAACTGACGAATTGCAGTTGTGCATTTTTTAATGGGAGAGAAACTTTTTATCCGCCTCGCATCCATTTTCCATTGGAAATATGGAAAGTGACCTTCCAAATCGCCAACAATACGTAAGAATAGCTCCTTCCTCATTCGGAACCGACGTCGAAACTTTACAGCGTAGACAGCGTCATCTGCAAAGTAATCTTCTATAAGACGATCGTTTCCGGCTTCGAGATTTCTACGCAACCGCGACTTTCTTGGTTTAGATCGTGCACGTGATGTTTCGCCCAGTCGGTTTTGATAGTATGCAACCGTTTTCGCCATTATGGAACCGATAAACTTAGCCTCCTCTAGAGTCGTCGAATCAGATAATGAAGATGATCACATTTTGATTAAACTTTTTTTGAAGGAAGTATAAGGTATGAGTTAAAAAATGGTTGGATGTTATGGTATTTATAGTTTAAAAAAGGGAAAAAAAAAAACAAAAAACATATGTGTATATATATAGCCATTTCAATCAATAATGTGAAGAGTGAAAATGCGGCATCCCCACCCTCCACCCTCTTCCCGCGCATCGCATCCCGCAGCCATGGTGAGGTGTTC